ACAATATGGTCTGTAAATTATAACTCTGAATTCTATCGGCTTGTAATAGTTAGTAATTAATTGTTTAGTTTTGATTCTTCCCGGTGATGGATTTCGCCGACTGGCTTCTTAAGGGATTTGAAGTTGAATGAGAAAAATAAAAAAAATATCAAAAAAAATTGAAAATCCAAAAAAAATATGTTATTTTTTTTCAATTTATTTTACTTTCTTTGGTAGTGTAACAATTTCCCCTTGATTTTTCTTTGTGCCGCGATTCTTTTCCATGGGTTTTATTTGAACCAGGTGTAGCTGTTTTTTTAAATTTTATAGGAATAAAGATTCTTGAGTCACAGTGCTAATTTGAAGCAATTCTCCTTGATTGCATATGCCCTGAGAGAGGTGAGTTCCTTGGTTACGCCTAGGCTCTGTTCTTGATTCTTAGATAGGCACCTTAAATTGGTTGATTATGACTCTGCTTCACTACTTTGACTAGAGAGTCGAGATAGATCCGATCCTAAGTGAGTTATGTGCTAATGTATGAATGAGGTTTTGTTGATATTCTGTGCATGTTAGTGATGTCTAGTACTTGCCCCGCGTATTTACAAAGTGAAATAGTAGTCTTGTTCAATCTAGGAAGTGATATAGGCATTTTTTGTGAGCCAATTATATGCTTGTGACCCGACTAATTGTTGTGTATCCTAGTTAGCCCTTTGGGCCTGTAATCCTATTTTCTTTGGCACCCACGCTACATGCATCACCCTTTATTTGAATTGACTATCTGTTTGAACTGTTTACCTCTATTGAGCACTTGATATATTTATGAGCTTGTTAAAAGTTAAGTGAAGGTATGGTTGAATTTTTGAGTGGAACTATAGAAAAGGAGAAAGGTGCACTGTTTGAAAAAAATTATGAGAGCCACTCGTAGGTAATTGAAGAAAAAAAAAAGGAGAAAATGAAAATCTAGAAAAAGAAAAAAAATGTTGGTGTTTGTATGTATTACAAAGAAAATTATTCCCTGCTAGTGGTAACTCTTGCTTTATCTTTGCTTAAAGAAATTGGGAGCTTGCTGTTAATATGATGTGAAGGTTGGGGTTTGGTTCAACATAAGTGTGGGGTTTGGATTGTTAATATATATGTATTAAATTGCTTAGGGAGGTGTAGTCACTATATCCATATGTATCCTACCCGTCCCGCAGCCTACATTACAACCAAAATAAAGTCCTACTTAATCCTTGACGGAATGAGCTTAATTAGTAGAGTATTACACTACGGGCAAGCCTATGGTACATTCTCTATGACGCATGAATTTTATTTCTGAGAGTGAGTGAATTCTTTCTATCTTGAGTTCCTATTTGTTCTTGAATTTTATTGTTTATGGAACTACTCTCTATTATTTTTGTGTGAGGGCACGTGATTTGCGAAGGTAAGGTAACGTCTTTGACCTTGGTGTTAGAGTAAGTGAGCAACTTGTAAAAAATGCGTGGTGCTTTTGAGTCGAGTCTCGAGGTTAGGATGTTATGACATGGTGCTTAGTCTATTTTAAATATTCTTGGCCTGATGTGTTAGGGAAGTTGTTTGATGAAAAGGTCATCCCTATGTGAATTGTAGTTTGATTGCTCGAGGACGAGCTATAGTCTAAGTGTGGGTGTTTATGGTAGGCTAGAAACCCGTGTTTTAGCCATAGTATTGCACCCTTATTACTGCATTTTACATGTGTTTGAGCTTAAATGATAGTGAATTACACTTATTACATGTTTTATGCCTTGCAGGAAATGATCCCGAGCTATAAAGGTAATTTGGAGCTAAATCGGACAAATTGGAGATTTGAAATCTAAGTAGAAGTCCAAGAACTTAAGCCGGGATCATGTTCGGGGTCGAGGACCAAGTCTGGATCTCAAATAGTGGATGAAACAATTTACTCTGAGAAAAAGACACATCCGCACTGCATGGGGCGCCGCGAGACGCAGCGCGGAAGTGTGAACTTTGTCTGACAGAGTTTTGCAGGCTCTTTGAATTTTCTAACAAGCGCGGCGCACCTGTATAAGTTTGTCAGAGTAATTTTCTGTTTCGTCTAGGAAAGATAAGTTTGTTTGTTTTATACCACGGGATAGAAAGTGCCGAAGTGGACGCGCATTGATTTCCTCCAACTAGGGTAGTTTCGTCCGGACTTGTTTCTACATGGTATAAATACACCAAAAATACGATTTTAGAGGACTTTTGACCTACGAAAGATTGGAGAACCAACCAAGGCAAGAAGACTCAAGAATTCATCAAGATTTCGACCAACAATCGGTGCAATACGGGAGTTTGTATCGAATCATTAGCATTGATGTTTTCTTTGTTCTTAAACCTTATTGAGATGACTTTTTTCATTTTTATGGAGTAATTTCCATTTGGGTGTTGACAGATCCGGTATTTTGATAACTTGATTAGGGATTCGATTCTTGATAATTGTTGGAATTAATTTATGGAGTTTTAATTTGTATTATAGAGTTATTTCTTATTTTGTTTAATCAACAGAGAAGCTTGATATTGAATTGCTTTACATCTTATGCTCTAGTTTAAATTCGTGATTCAAATAGGTAATCAAAAGTGCCTCTTGAATTATTAATCAAACTAGAAAATAGGGAAATATTCGTGAGAAGTTACCCTTTAGATCATAACCATCATAATATTGTTGCAATTGTTTACCGTGCTTCAGTTAGATTAACACTGAAATTAACGTTTAATCGGAAGAGGAACATTAACTTCAAGTGTAATCTAATTATCGGTTGAATTCGTGAGAATGAACCATATTATAGAGTGAACTAACTCAAGAATTTGATCCCGAGTCAGTTATCTTGCACCTGTCTAGTCAATTACCCTTATTTCTCTCATTGATATTTCTTCTTTGCTCATTTGATGTCCTTTGTGATCAATTGTTAATTACTTAGTTTTTAGTAGTTAATCGTAGTAATAGTCATAAAATCAAGTGTTCATTTTCCTGGATAGTAATTAACTGAAGAATATTCGAACACCGTTTAAATAAAATCTCTGTGGAGACGTTAATTAAACTATACTATCTTTGACTAGCGAGCAATAATTTTGTCTTGTGTTTTGCGCTCATCAAAATACCAAAAGAAAATAAATTCTAATATTTGTTGAATATTTCAAAAGTCACTTGTATGGATGTCAAGTTTCTTTTAATTTGAGATGATTTTATACCTTACTTGAAAAGTACTATGAGTTAGTACTCTGTATGTGGATTTTTCACTATATTAGAAGGATACAGTGATGATATTGAATCTCTAGTTCAGATGAGAAAAAAAATCATTAGTGATTGTGTGACCACCTTTTGGTGGGGTTTGCGGTATTGAAATTGCCTAGCAATGAGGCTGATTAAGCAACCTCTTGGTGAGTGTTCCACTAGGAACTAAACCAACAATATTTGCGTCGATGAATTGTGATTGCCAAGGCGCAATAGCCATTGTAAGAAAATTAATCTGTCAATGGAAAGAGTAGATACATTCTCTTGAGACATAATATGATAAAGCAATTGATTAGATATGAGAATTTTTGTAAATGTTATGTGTAGTCAAAAGAGAATTTGGCCGATCCTTTGACTTATAAGTGAAACATCAAGCAGTTGAGACTTTTGACAATTTGAGATATATCAACAATGATGGTAACCTAACCTATGTGATTGGAGATCCCATGAAGTAGGTTCATATGGGTGGTGTATTGTACTGTAGAATACACCTGATGGATAGACCTATATGAGTGTGGAGTGGGGTCACTCCTATGAAATTTGTGGAAAAATTTCTAGAGCACTAATGAAAATCAGGCGCGCGTTTGGCCTCTTAGCGCAAAACTGCGATAACGACAAAGATTGTGCGAGTATAATATGATAGATAAAACTCTAGGCTTACAAAAGTATTTTTGTTTTATAGAAGTTCTAAACTTCTCCAATTATTCTCTAGGCTTAATCTTATTTTTCTAGGTCTGATTCATAGTCTACGAGACACTATATTCGAAGTATTGTACTCATATGTAGCAAATCCAGCAAAATAATCTATCCTTCTATTCTTTTTGAGATATGTGGGGGGATTGTAAGAAAAATAGTAAATATGGTATCTCAGGAAGTGTCCAGATTCATATTTTCTGAAAAACATTTAGTGTATTTATTATTTCATACAATAATGAGTCATTTTTCTATATTTTCAACTATTGGACCATTACTCACCCATTATAACCACTTGATTCCACTCACCTATATATACATACATTATTTATAGACGTACATTCTTTCTGGCGTGGTAGAGACTAAGTATACAAAAAATACTCTCCTTCCTTTTGCTGGATTTTCTACCAAGAGTAAATCTTGTTAGTTCCTGCTCCTAGTTTTATACTAGAAGAGCTTGTTGAATCCTGGGGGATAGATCCAAATCAGGTGAAATATTCTTATAGACAGTGTCTTTTACAAACCTCAATATTTGAAGAATTCTCTATACGTTTCGTGCTCAAGTATTTTGCATAAGATTTACAACACCATCTCCCTTTCATCTCAGAAAGTTCCAAATTCCACTGCTTATTATATATAATCAAAACATTACCATCAAGAATTGCGCTAAGATGGAAGGATTTGTATCCTTAATTAAATCTTTGAGTTCAAGTCCCAATAATAGAAAAAAATTCTGATCCGATGCACTTTCCATCACTACTAGAAAATGTAAAAATTTTGATCAAAATTTTCGGATTGAAATAAATAGTCGGAATTTTCTGATGGTATCCAAATTTTTTATTTGTGACCAATACGTTCGGTCCACGAAAGTCAACTTTTTAATGTTTGACCACTTTTCGACTTTCGATTGAAATGGTCGGAAATTAATAAATTAAATATTAATTTTTTTGTTTATTTTCAGACTGATTCAGTCCGAAACTTTTTTAATTTTTTGTCAGTGCATTACCGACCAAATCGGTCAGAAATCTAATTAAAAACCCGCCCCGACCCATTTCTTCTTTTCTCCTTCTCTTTCTCTTTTCTTCCTTTCTTTCTCTTCTCTTTCTCCTCCATCATCGGTGGCCAGTTTGAGTATCAAATTCTGGCGGTGTGAACCCCTATCTCTCCCTCCTACCCCTCTCCTTCTCCCTACTCCCTTTCTCGCGGTCATATTTTATTTCTTTGAAAGCCATCTAATTTTTTCAAAAAAATCTTTTTCAGGAAGCAAATTCGGCGTCCAAGCATGGTTTTCTTCCCGGGAGGTATGTTTTTCGTTCATCCTTTATCCGCTTTAAATCGTAAGATATTTGTTTTCTTTTCTTTTTTTTAATTACAATTCAAGTAGAATCTTAATATATTTGTTCTATTCTTGTTTTATTAATCTTAATATATTTGTTCTATATATTATTAATTTGTACTAGCCATTTGTTTTTTGCAATTCAAGTAGAATTTTAATATATTTGTTCTTTTTTGGTTCTATGAATCTTCATATATATGTTCTATATATTTTGTAACGAGCTAGTTATTCCCTATGGCTTTTAACTTACTTTATTTAGAGTTGACTTGTCACGACCCAATTTCTCCTGTAGGCCGTGATATGACGCCCAACGTTACCGCTAGGCAAGCCTACAATGAATTACTCTGTGATCCTTTTTTTCAAAGATTTAAAATAGTTGATTTTAATTGTGCATAAATAAGAAGTAAGAATTTAATAAAAATGAGACATCAAGATTTTTAAAGCAAGTGAGATAAGTAAAATAACCCAAAAACCATCAAGTGTCTACTAGCATGAATCACCAAGACCTGGTGTCATAAGTGTATGAGCAACTAGTAGAATATACAAAAGAATACTACACAACTGTCTGAAGTAAAATAGATAGAAAATGAAAGCAAAAGAAAGACTTCGGCTGCTGCAGAACGGGCTCAGAAGGGCAGCTCACCGCAAAGTCTCGGAAATCAAGGATGCGCGCCTGATATATCCAGATGCACCTGCCTTAGATCCTGCACATTTAGTGCAGAAGTGTAGCTTGAGTATGTGCATAAACAACATGTACCCAATAAGTATCCAGTCTAACCTCGAAGAAGTAGTGACGAGGGGTCGACTTTTGACACTTACTATGAGCTAAGAATAATATGCCAAGATTATAACTAAGCATGGCTTTACATAAATATAGCTGAAAACTCAATAACATGAAATAATAAATAATCCTTTCACTAATAGTAAATCCCAAATTTGTTTCCATCATTTAACAATTTACATCTCAAGCCAATGAAGAAATATCAATTATAATTAGTTCCAATGATTTATTACGCGCAATTTATGCCGAGGTCGTACGGCCCGATCCACCATAAAAATATTTCAATTGTGCACTGTCGAGGGTCGAACAATACGAACCATAGATGCATCTATCTGCTACCGAGGCCTTCGGCCTGCTCCATGAAAAGAGAAAATACTTTTAACAGCCAATTCAAGATTTATTAATAGGCTAATATTTAAAAAAACACCAATTCTCAATAATAGTCAAGTGACCCGTCCAAGAGTTCAAGTAAATAAAATTTAACCTTTTATAATTCCTTTAGCAAGTCCCAATATTATTTAAGAAATTAAGTTAACAAGTAGGGTGCACACATCATAAGTATAACATGGTATGAGTCCTATACTACCCGGACATAAGCATAATTAGTAGCTACGCACGGACTCTCGTCACCTCGTGCGTACGTAGCCCCTCACAAATAGGAGCACATATTAATCAATTCACCTATTGGGTTAATTACCTCTTACAAGGTTAGAAAAGATACTTACCTCGTCTCAAAGCTTTCTTTCCGGCTCAAATTCACTCTAAAGCCTCAACTCGGTGCCGAACAATCCAAAACTAGTCAAATGGTATATAAATTCGTCAATACATGTTCAAAAGTTCATATTCTAACTATTAAAGTGATTACCCAACTCCAATTGTAGGATTCCTAATATTCACCCCCGGGCCCAAATGTCCGGATTCCGGAAACTTTCGAAGAAAGTTGTTACCCATAACCTCATGAACTCAAATATATGATTTTCACTAAGTTCCATAACAAATTTCGTGGGTAAATTCCAGTTTTGTCAAAAACCTAGGTTTTTCATAAGTCCCACAAATTTATATATTAAAATCTACCCATAATCTATGTATTAAACTTACATTAGGTATAAATTACTTTCCCTCAATAGCTAGGTCGAAATCCCCCTTATTGAAGCTCCAAAATCGCTTAAGAGTGCAATAAATGAACTCAAAAAATGGCTAAGTTCCAATTTTTAAAACTCTCTGCCCAGTTGCCTCCCTCTTCGCGAACGTGGAACAGGCCCCGCATTCGTGAAGGCAATGGCCCAGGCCCATGAAAACATGGCCTACGCGAACGCGAAGGCTTACCAGCCCTGTCCTTCGCGAATGCGAGGGCACCTTCGCGAAATCGAAGAGCACTGGCATGACCCCTCCCCAAGTCCATCCCTTCTACATGAATGCGATGGGGCTTACGCGAACGCGTAGGTGTGGGACCTCAAGGCTCCGCGATGGACTATTACATTCCTTTTGCCTTATATCTCCTACTATTTATATGGGATACTCCCAAAGAACCCTAAAAAGTACAAGCAGAAGGAATATTCAACAGAATATTCCCTTTGAAAGTTCCAAGGCTATACTAGCCGTTACTTCTGTCCATGCTGCTCGACCTCGCCCCTGATGGGCCATTCTGCGACTTGTTCTGTTGACCACTGATCGACCTCGGTCAAACTGCGCATGATAAGTTACAAATCTCACGATAATCACCTCTTCGTGCTGAATTTCCTCGGTCAGATTTTGACCCATACAGTTAGTCCCTCCTTATCGAGGTCGTCTTTTGGTCAACCTCAATGAGTGGACTTCATTAGTCACAGTTCGAGAAATTTGGATGGGGAGGTCGAGTAGTAAGGATCGCGGCCAAGATGGTGACATGGCATTTTGAGAACCACAGTTACGACGTTGGTTCAGAATGACGTCACAACCTCACGCATCATCATTAAGCATCTTCCTGATGCGTTCCATTGCTTCCCGTGTCCCTGTTATTTCGATCCCTGTGCATTTGGCGGTTAATTGTCTCGATCCGAGCGTCGGTGTTCTCTATAAATAAAAGGGTGAAACCCTTTGAATAAACCTTTACATTTCCCAATCTTTTGAACCCGCATCTTTTCTTCTCCTTCTTTTTTCTATGTTCCTATTCCAGTTGCTTCCATCTTTCGCACTCTCTCTCCTTTCTAGTTCGAGTGACTCCTGTTATTTCTGCCTCTTTCGAGTTCATATCTTCTGTATTTACAATCACCCAACAATGGTGGATACACCTCTTAGTCTCTGGTGAGGTTCTTGAACCAACTCTACTAGGAGTAAGGTTCCCTTCTCATGATGAGGATACCGTTGTCACTGCAGAGGACGAGAGCTTTCCCACCGTAGAGGATATCATTCCTCGTTACGATAGGGCCAGGTCAGACTTTTCGAAGTCGCCTGCGGATGAGCCTGAGCCTGTGAAGTCTGAGATGGAAGCATCCCATCTTGCCGAGCTTAGGGCCAAGTACAACATCCCTGCTCACATCGATCAGGTCCCAGTCGGGAATGGTGTGATCCATATTCATTGTCCCGGGTATTATGCATTTTATGCGTACACGTTTTAGTGGGCTATTCTCTTCCTCTTCCCCCGTTGGCGGAGGAATTTTGCCGCTACTACGGCATCTATCCGACCCAACTCTCCCCTTATATTCATATACTCTTCATTATGTTGATAAAGTACAAGGAGCTGGCCATCCGTGGAATTTCCATCTGCCATTTGGTACATCTCTTCGTGCCAAGCTTTCACCGAGGTACGATGATACACCTCCGCCACCATGGGACCTAGAGATTGGTGGTGAAGATGGACGATAAGACAAATCGTCTGTTTTGGTTTAAAATTCTTCTACATTAAGACCGAGCATGTGGTGGGGAACCCCAATGGATTCCCTGAGGTGTGGAACTTCGCCCGTAACTTCTCCCGTAAGACAGGCCCAGTGCTAACTGATCGTTTGTTATCTCTCTTCGGTGACTTAATCGTTCTTCCTTTTTTGTACAGTCGAGAAGGATCCTCCTACGTTGATCGCCGACATTCGCGACTGGGTGAGTTAAATTTTACCTCACACGGTGGGGATCCGTGAGTGGTCGTTGTTCAACAATAAGTTTAGACATAGACCTTCTTCGACCGGTGAGTCAACTTGTTTCGATCTTCAGTTTCTTCGTCTTTTATACCGTATTCTCTTTCACTTCATGCAGTCTTTCTTTGTTGTAAGGTCGGAGGGCTCCGAGGAGAGTGAAGGCTCCTACCCCCGCTTTTCGTCAGTTGGGTACCTCGACCAGGTCTCTACTCGCTGCGACTGCAAGCGAGTCTGTACAGACTGCTGCTTCTTCTTAGACCCCGACCCTGCGTAGGCCTGGCCGTCGAGCAGCTGCCCCATCAGCGGAGACTGCGACGTCTCCAATATTTCACTTAGTGGACGAGTCGTATCCGAGCGAGGAGGAACTAGTTTCGCTAAAAAAGCGGAGAGTAGAGGTTGGTGGCAAGGCGGTAGAGTACGAAGAGCCAACAGGGGGCAATCCGAGCGAGCCACGGTCGCACCCGAGGGCAGCATGGATTTGGACGCAGAGACTGCCCCCCCTTCAGATGTGGAGATTGCTTCCTTATTAGAGGTCATCGTGGAAGGAGGAGGGCGATCAGAGGCAGCGGAGGTCATTCCGTGAAGTGATCCGTCGCCGTCAAAGCAGGCCGACGTACCTTCATCTGCCGAAGAGAGGGGAAAAAATATGGCCGTAGATGGTTACGAGTCTGGTTCCGGCATGGACCCCAAAGAGGTACGGATGTTCGATGAGGAGTATACTCTGGTAGAGGTGAGAATGGAGGGATCTACTCGTACTATAGTCATTCCCTTAGACTATGACTTGTTGACGAACACAGAGAGCATAGTTCCTTCTTTGGTTCCTCTTTTTTCTGGCACCGAGAACAGGACCTTACTGACATTTAAGGATGCCGATCTGCCGTTAGGCATATCCGGAATGGCTTTGAGGGTAAGTTTGTATTTTTATTTTTTTATTTTTACCTTACGTCCTTTCTCCTTTTTGTTTTTACTGACTTTTTGGCTCTTCCTTTTTCACTTAGACTCTTATTTGGAGATCGAAAGTGCGCACCTATAGGAGAAGCGTAAGGTTATTCTTAAAAAAATGGTTTTGAAGTATCG